ACCAAATTTTGCAATATCAAATAAATTCCATCCTTCAGAATAAGATGTAGGTATTCTAAAACTAAATACCTCGTAAATTCTGTATGTTTTAATACGGATAATATCTGTTACATATACCGAAACATTATATTCTAAAAAAAGACAAAACTTAGCTAGCCAGTATGTAAATAAAAGAATACATCATGTGTACAAAAAAATACTTACTGTATCCATGAATACTCACGGATTTAAAGGTCTTTGCAGTGGCAGTAGTACAATTGGCATATCGTGTGAAATAGTAATTCAAATCATCAACACTATTACATGCAAGCTTAGAAAAATCTCCAAGATAATGTGAAAATGTGTATTCTTTTGGGCTATAAGATTGCTCGTATATAATAGTTGCTGACTTGTCTTGATATATAACTGCATCGTTCTTAGGGACACATCCACTATTAGATGGCTTTTGATCATAGTTGATATTGTATGTCCTATCATTATGGGCCTCATTATCAATTTCGCCACTATAACCAATAAAAACATAAAATTGTAAAAGATATCATTAAAAAGAAAGGGAAAATGCAATAATACATACAATTCTTTTCCTGATACAATTTTGCTAAAAAAAACCGAAAATAAGTCTAGTAGTCGGTAAATAGTTTGAGTTTTTCATTACAATCATCTTGCAAACCGCCATAATGGTAGTATAGAATGAAATGACGGGAAACTTCTCTTGTCCATAACAATAATGGACTTGGATTATCAATAAGCGGTTGATCCAACCTGCCCAACGCATTTTTAATATCACCATTAAGTATTCTCTTAAGATATTGCTTAACATCGTCAGGAAGACTTGCTGTTATATTGATACCACAAGCTATTTGACTGTATAGCTCCTCAGCTTCTAACATTGAAAGCTTAATAAAAGGCTTAATGAGTGGGTAAATCTGTCGACTTAACTCTAAAAAAATTTCTTTTTCAGTATTGTTTTTTTTCCCACCCTTAACCTACATAACAAAGATATCATTTGTTAAAAAAATATGATATAAGTAAACTTGACAGTATTTAAAAAAATTAACATACAGTATTAGTAGATGTTGGTGCTTTGTTAGCAGGTTTTCGGCTATCAGCTTTTGTTTTACTCTGTGATTAATGCAAAAGAAAAAGAACAGCGTGCTCAATACCCCTAAAAATTATAATAACTCATACTTAGTAGTAAATCTGTTTTTCATACCTGGTTGAGTTTTTCATTGTTAGTAATAGGTTGGTTTTCCTCAAATTTTCCAAGATCAGCCTCAAGTAGTTCGTCGAGATCTTGTGGTTGATATCGAGAATAGATTCGATCTTCAGGAGTTCGAGATCGTTGATCTTGTTCATCCTGTTCTGAGCGAATCTGCGAGAAATAGTTCCGAATATCTGGTCCTTCCATTGAACTTCTAGAAAACGCCTTGTGAAATTTGAAAATCAACGGATCATAAATAAAATAAATCATGATGTTGCATTCATAGATTGTGGAGATCTCACCTTTTTTAATCGAGTCGAGGCTCTTTCCGTTTCTTCTTCATCTCGATGGTGTTTTAGGCGGTTCGTAACATTCTCTCGAACAAGATGTACTTGATTATCATTTTGAAGGGTTGAGCGTATAGCACTAGTGGTGAGCTCATCCTGTGACCATAGAATAATGTGAACAAATTAGTATTTTCATTATGTTACGTGCCTTGATATGTTGGCAGATCAAATGTTTCATACCAACAAAACTGTACGTTCAACTGAATCTACTAATTTGCGTTTCTGCACTGAAATAATTGTCTTCCAAAAGTCAATAATTAATGGCGACTTCTTTTCGTTCTATTAGCAATATAACGCTTTAGTGTGAAAAAAAAAAAATAAACTAACTCAATTGCAGTGATGGAACCACCCGAGTCGCAACTCATGCATTCCTAATCGCAATCAGAAGTGTTGAGTGGTTGAGGTCGCAACCTCCCATCAAAAAACCATGCAGAACAGCCACTCGAGTCGCAACTCATACGTTCCTAATCGCAATCAGGAGCGTTGAGTGGCTGAACACATTTCAGCAGGACGGAATCACCCGAGTCGCAACTCTTACATTCCAAATCGCAATCAGGAATGTTGAATGATTGAACGGTCGCAACCCAATCCAAAATGGCTATTTCCCTTTTGGACCCGTCCACTGCCACAAAATACACCAAGAATACACAACCTGTACTAAAGTGAGCGCTTTGCTAGCTCGCTCAATTGCTTCCGCGGGTGCTTCTTCACAACTGATTATAGTTGCGAGGCTACGAACATATCGGTTGTGTTCTTCACAGAGAAATCAGCACACTTTTGTCGAAATAGCAAAAAATTTAATAAAGACCAGTCACGGTCAAAAGTAAAATAATCAGGATCATCAACCGCAATCCCTAGCGATAAAAAAAGAAACTTTAATAATCAGAGATATAAGCAAAACGTGCTAAGAAGTATAAACTTACATTCTTCCTTCATTGTTGACATTG